GATTTACTGTCTTTAATATCAGAGACACTTACTTCCCGCTTCCTAGATGTAGTTAAATGCTGAACGTTTCCCATGTGTTAGTCATGTTCTGAGTGTTGAGAACACAAGGCAACAAGACGTGGCCTTGAGCTTGAGAGTTATGCGGTCTACTGGGGGAAAGGAAAGAAAGAAAATTCACTACCACTTTGGGGGAAGTAATAAAATAGATTCATATTGACAGGTCAGCTGGGGAAAATAAACTCCATTAGAAGAAGTACAATAATAGCCTTAAATGTAATGGAACATTTACCCTAAAAAAAAAATGGGGTTTGTCCAGACAGCTCAGTGAATTAAAGTACCTGCTTAGGCAGACGCAGGAGCCAGGAGTTCAATACCCAGCCTGCCTGCCGTGCCAACCCCGCCCCCGAGGCGCGCTGAGATAGCAGTTGGGCGTGGTGGCCCGCGCCTGTAATCCCAGCGCTTGGGCGGCTGAAAACAGGAGAATCTCTAGAGTCTGATCTATGTAGTGAGACCCTATAGACCCTGTATTAACAACAACAACAAAAAGATGGATTGTTCTAGTATATGTTAGAAGAATTTCTGTCCCTCAGTGAATGAGAACAGCATTGAAAATGAGGAGCTAGTACAACCACTGTGAAATCATTCTAAAGATTCTGCAAAAATTAAAAATAGGAATTAATTTCCTTAGGGGCTGGGGTTCGATGCCTGGCCTTCCGTGCCAGCCCTGCTCTCAGGGGGCGCTAAAATGGTGACTGAGACTGAATATGGTGGTGCAAGCTTGCAATCCCAGTGCTTGGGAGGCTGAAAAACAGGAAGGATCATCTGTGTCGTGAGACCATGTAGACCCTGTGCTACAATTTTTTTAAAAAGAGACTTTAAAAATAGGAATTCCATTTGACCCGGCTGTACCTCTACTGAAAGTGTTCAAGGCATCATCCCACAGTGCTAATACCCACCCATGTTTACAGCAGAATAACTCAGGATAGCTAAGTTCTAGAAGACACACGTGGTTGCACATCAACAGATGAAAGGATAAAGAAAACTGATGAAGACATATATATGCAGAGATAGGAGGATGGTCCAGCTATAAAGAAGAATGAAAACATCTCATTTGAAGGAAAATGGAATGTTAGGTTAAATAAATCAGTACAAATTAATTATCAGTGGTTTCTCTTATACAAGAAAGTAACTAAATAAGTAAAGCAAAAGAAAGACTGTAGAAAACACAGTGGCAGACTTCACATCAATAGGGTAGGAGTCCAGGGAGGGAAAATATGGATGGGGAATAAAACATAAAACAAAATGATTTTTCTTCATCTTCATCTCTACTACGCATTATGTGACTGCTCAGAACGAGGCATATCTTGGGATTCTAGCAATCTATTTAATCAGGAGCAAAAGCTAGGCCAACAAACACCAGTCTTTTAGTCTATTGTGCTTTATAATGCATATATAATTAGGAAATTATGACTAACAAGAATTGCGATTTTATTAAGCACCAAGAAGTAAAGCATGCACTTGGAAGCATTATCTAAACACTCTGTTGCTGTTATTATTATCTAATTAAGTAACTGGAATGAGGCTTCCAGCTAGAAACTGGTACAATTAGAATTCTAACCTCATTAAAGGAACTCCAGTTCCTTCACTTTTAAACACTACATTAAGCTGCTTTAAAAGTCAAGGATCCAATAAGTAGGATGATAGATAGTTGACAGATAGATAGATTGATTGAAAGATCAATAGAGATAGAAATGGTATAGATCAGAATATATACAATAGAAATTAAAATGTCAGTTCCTATGCTCTAATCTTCTTTTGTTTTGCTTTTCATAAAGGTCATTATTATTCATAATTTTAAAAGTTGGACAATATTAAGAGCCCAGTAAATCACTATTTACCTCTAAAAAAATGCCAAGCTCCACATTTTCATACTAGTTAAGTTCATTTTGTCATTGAATAAATGTTTCACACATTTGCTGAACCGATAGCCAGCTAAACTACAGAGTTATAACACTGATGTGCACAAAGAGCTTTTGTTGTACAGATGTTTTAGACTATAGCCTTGAGATAAACTTAAAAGTTGTAACAGGATTTTAAAATTTTTCATTATTTTTCATCCATGAAAAAAATCCCAACACTCCAAGAAGACACAAAATGAGGAATACGCTGAGATTATTCAAAAAGAAAAATTAACATTTTTCACATTTTATTTTTACAAAATAAGTTGTTAGTCACAGTCTTCAGATATTTTTGAACTGATAAAAATAAGTTACAATTATCAAAGAATGGTTTAACTGGAAACCAAAAAAAATAAAACTTTATGTACCATAAATAGTGACACACATCTAGTCATATTTGATTAAAGGTACTTTTCATTTTAAAAGAAAAAGGAATGTCAACCAAAGAGCAATTGGAAATGATAATTTTCATTGCAATTTTTTTACACTTCCTGCACATTCAACATTTCAACTCCCCATGAAATTATGAGTACTGAGAGACCCATAATATCATAAAACTAATAATCTGCTCAACAATTTTGTTTTAAAGCATATAAAGTATATAACATTTTATTTAGTTTAATGGTATGGTTTCTCTACCATCTACCTAGGATCAGTATAAAACAACCCATAAAAATAGTATCAAGTATATTACTTTCCCAGAATCTTTTTGTCTTTCAGCAATTGCAAAGTTTTAATCTATGCAAAAAAGACACACCTATACATAAAAGACTGCTTCATTTCTTGGCTTCTTTTCTTAATTTATGCCCATTCATTCATTCAACATTGACTAATGCTTTCTATGTGCCTGATGCTGCAATAGGTATGGAGAGTGTTCAGTCTTCAAGAAGTTGATTCTCCTGGTAAATATTTCTGACACTTCAACAGAGCATTTTTGTGTGAGCAGAATCTTTAACAAATCTCAAAAATCATCACTGACTGCTATCCTGCTATTTGGTTTCACTCAATTTTACAACAATCTGCAGTTAAGAAGTGTATTCTTTCAATGGAAATTTCTTTCTTTTTTGAAACATTAAATAAACAAGGGTTAATCTCCTGCAGGGTTAATATATATATTAAACAAGGGTTAAGCCCCTACATATATATTTTTATATGGATTTCAACATTGATTTAAACCATGGGAATTGCTTACCCATTCAATGCATTAAGAAGCTCCCCTACAAGTTGAAAATATGAGATTTCTGAGATGTGAGATTTGAAAGTAAAGGTTTTCATCATCCCTTAGATAGTCTTAAACTCGAATAAAATCTGAATGTCAAAGAATTACTGGACCTGCAGGCCTCAATTTATAGAATTAACGGATTTCCAAAATTATTATCTACTAAAACTGTTATACTCATTATGCTGTACTCTTTGTGTGAATATTTGCCAGTATTTATTTCTATGTGCAAACATTTAGTTCTAGGCTGTTAACATACACACACTCTTACATTACCCTGGAAACTCAAACTGCCCAATCAAAGTATTAAAAGAATTTAGCTAAGGACCAGCATAACAACCAAACTCTTAAAATGGACCTAAAGTATGACTTTCAGATTATATTATATTTATACATTTTAACAGTCGTATCAAACACTGCTTGGATTAATAAAAATGTAGTCCATAAATACTAAGTTGGGAATTTAGTTTCCAATTCATGCTTGACAAAGAATGGTAAAATTGGGGCTGGGGAGATAGCTCAGTAGCTAAGCACCTCTCTGGTAAGTGCAAGGACCTGAGTTTGATTCCCAGAACCCTGGGCATGCCTTGCTGGCCACTGAAACCAGGTGAGGTGGTGCATGCCTGTAATCTCAGCACTGAGGAGGCAGAGACAGGAAGATCACTGAGTCCAAGCTGCATAGTGAGACCCTGTAGAAATAAATTAAAGACCTTAAAAACAGTAAAATTGCATAACATTTTAATTGGTAAAATAGCATTTTATGCAACAATGCCTTGAGAATGCAAGGAGAAGTTTATTCTGCAAACTTGAAAATTTCTTCCAAAAGCAGTCAGAATCCCACTGTATAAGAAGAGTTTTCTCTTAACGACAGCCTGAAGTCCAAGAACATGAAGAACAACTTAAAAAGAAGAAAATCCAAGAAATAATTTCTTTGAGTCAATAGCCTGCTAGGTCTTTAGGTAGTTCTCCACGACCCAGAGGGTTTCTTAATCACACTTGGAGGACTTCAAAGAATCATACATACTTTGTTTTGAAGAATTAAAACAAATATGACTCAACCATAGAGAAATTTGCTAAGTTATAAAAATTGATCTTTGTAATTTCCTATAACCTTCAATAATCACACACATTTCATAAAATTCCAGTCAAAAGTTATTAGCCATTGTTGTCAAAAATATATCTTTTTTCTGGTAACCTAAACAACTAATGTGAAGATAGAATTGTGCAGTACAACAACCATTGTTCAATTCCAATTACTTTGTTTAATGAAATTTTGCTTCATTTCTAATGAGGTTTTGCCATTTTTTGGTCTTTAAAAATATATGCAATAATATAAATGCAATATATATTATATTTAAATAAATATATAAAATATGTATCTATCTTTTTTCTGCATTTTAGGGAAGAGTCTACAGGGTGTTCAGGGTCTCACTACTAGATCAGGCTCATAGTGATTCGCCTGTTTACAGCCTCCCAAGTGCTGGGATTACAGACATGTGCCACCACGCCCAGTCTCAGTCACCATCTCAGGGAGACCCAGGGGCGGGCTGGCATGGCAGGGCCAGGTACTGAATCCCCAGCTCCTGTACCTGCTTGCAGGTGCTTTAATCCACTGAGTTATTTGGCTGGCCCTCTATATATCTTTTGACATAGTTCTTGAAATGAAATATAAAGGGAATACACGCTCTGCCTTACTTGTTTGATTTTTGTATTGCACATGAGTATGAATTGGCAAACAGCGCTGCACTGCTACTCGCAGTGACGTAGTGGAACTTACCGGGTCCTTTCTGAAGACTCACGGAGGGGACGGGAGGCAAAAGCACAACTGAATGTCTGGGCAGGGCATAGAATGACTCAATCATTCTGCGTGTAAAAGAAAAAGCTAGACTTAACAATGTCTATCTCACAATATGAAACTTCAGGGTTAATGTTATAAGATTAAATATTAGTATCAGAATCTCCAATCAACAGGATGGAGACTTGTTACACCCTCCGTGACTTGCCAAGTAAACATTTATTATTGAGCGGAAAGAAAATATCTAATTTTTCTGTTTCTGAACATGAATAACAAATGGGAATATCTACTGGTCAAAGTTGCCCCATCTAATAAAACTGTGGATAATTAATAAGAATCCTATCTATTTCTTCATTATTTTAAGAGAAATTTGAAATAACAAACTTTCCTAACATGATTTAAAGACCTTTAATTATGACAACTGAATCAGGAATTAGTATCACAAGGAAACTTTACAAAAGGTAGATAAACAAAATGAAAGAAAATAAAAAATCACCCCTAATCTCATCAACTTGATGTTTTCCTCATAACTGCAATCCTTTAAAAGCTCCTATAAGCTGGACACTTCTAAGCCTGCTACCTGTGTTACTGATTTAATCCCCACAAACATCTAGAGATTGTATTTACTACGACTATACTCATTATATGAGTGAAGAAACCAAAACACTTAAGGATTAAGTAGCGTAAAGTCACTGCCTCAGCTGGGAATCAATACAGCCAGGATTTGAAGTCAGGAAATGGGGCTACATAAATTATGTTTTGTACTAACTTCATTTGTCACAGCTAATATAGAATATATCCAATAATTTTCTGTGTATGTGTACCTAAATACATATGAAATTTACAACCAATATTTTGCATTTAACATTATGTTAAGTGGATATGTTTTAAAATGTTCTGGGAAGCACATTTTTATTTTAGCCAATTATATTTTGGCCTTCCATTGTATTGACTCAATGCACTGGCAGTTTACAGACCAGGATGAAAATCTTTGAGCATTCATATTTGTTCAATTGCCTATTTTTTTCTTAATATAGACACCTATGATAAATTTGCAAGTCCAAATGTTACATAAATGTTAAAGAAGTTTTGAGAATTTTTAAAACATCCTTTCTTGATCAAGAAACAAAGGTGTATAAGGAAGGAAACTGTGAATGTCCCATTCAGAGTTTCAAATTTGATTAAGAGTAGCCTCTTGATAGCACTAATAAATAAATGATATGCTTAGTCATTAGTTTAACTGTCACTCATAGACATTTTTATGGATTTGACCAGAGGACTGAGGTGTTCCCTAAACTTGTCAAGGAAAAATGGTCACATCAGTAGTTTAGCAAAGCTACTATTTGGAATTTTAGAATTTTCTTATATACTACTCAGTGGGGCAGAGATAGTAATCAGGCCTAGTTTAATACAGTATGCGGCCCATGCCCAAGTATCATTTAATCTCTAAATTAGAACTAATGACATTTTCCAAGATTCACAAGTAGAGAAAGATTCTGATTTGGATAATTCATTCACTTGAGCCAGATACTTAAAAACATTAAGGTGAAAAAGCAGTTGTCTCAATACAATTAGAATGCCATGAGACACACTATCACTGTTTCATAATATCCTCCTTTTTTAATTAAGTTGATCAGAATAATTTAAACAGATTAGGATGCAATGCCTAAGAAACTCTCACTAATCATGAAATGGAAAAAAGTACGGGCTGTCTTGCCTGAATTATAGATCTGTGTTGACAGAAATGCAGGTATTATTCTTTGAAATGCACTAAATACTAGCAAATAAAAAATCTGCACTAATAAATAATAAGTGAATTTCACTGATGGAAAATTAACATTTAGAATATAATCTCATCTACTGTTACTGTCCTGAAAGAGTAGTTTAATGTACGACAATCTCTGAGTTTAGGATTTAAAGGTATATTGAATAGCTACCTTTTCTTAAGCTTAAAGAAATTGGAGAAATATTCTACATGTTTTTCTCTCCTCAGGTCAAAAGAAAAATATGAAAAAAGAAATCACATATTTATAAGAGTCTGTCACATTTCTTCACATTTTGTTCAAGAAAATTTCTCTGGTTTAGCAAATATTTTATGGTCTACATAAAACCATGTGTGTCACCTTCACATTTGTACTGTCACAGCATCTTGAGGAGACCTGGAAGTAGTTTACAGGGGTTTTTATGACTTCAGCAGAAGCCATCCCAGAGTCTCAAAATGAGCTAGGTAATTTGTCCTAATTACTCCTACAGCCTAATTGTTAAAAATCCTCCTTTCGATTTCCTAACTGATTACTTTTCTTCTCTTGCTTATATCCTCACTGCCAAGTTTTCTTATTTTCATCGTGTGGAGAACTCAATTTCAATAAAAATTTCAGACTGATGACCCTTTTTCACAAAAATCTATGTGAACGCGGGTTTCCAGGAAACCCAAGTCGCCACGTCCCCAAGCGCTTTCTGTCCTTTCCCTGGCGTTCACACCACACTTCTCACATTAATGAAATGAAGCTAACTGCTACAGTAGGAAACAAGTTACTGCCGTAAACTGGCCATAAATAAAAATGAGGTAGCCCAGGTGGAGTGAAGTCCAGGCTTTCTGTGCACTGGCTGCCTCTGAAGTGCAGGCATTGGCTCTTAATTTCAAAGGGGGGTGATCTTCCTCATTAAGCAGGACATGTTGTCATTAAAAATGGGAAATCAGGGTGTCAGCAGGCCTTTCTCTTCCACCAATTATAAAGAAACAATTCTCTAAGGACTAGTCAGCCCTCCTGAGGGAGGCACTGTGATGAAAGATCTCGCACCTGATCAGATTTATTATTAGCAAGTGCCCCACTTAGCCTGACATCCCTGTTATTCTTCCCTTGATCACTGGCCTTGCCTAAATAGTGTGGTGGAAATGATTTTAGGATGAGTTCAGTTAACTTTTCTACTTATTCACACTTATTTGAAGTTCTAAGCTACTTGATTAACTTGCTTTATTAGCAACTCTCCACTCCTCGCACTCTGCCAGAACAATGCGAGAACTGGATAAAAACAGAAAGGAAAATTTTTAAACTGTTTGATTCCCAAAACAATAATTTATTTTCCTCTTAACTAGTATCTTCCCTTAGTACAGATAAAATCAAACCTCCAGTACTGAAGTGTGCATATATTCTACTCTTCTAAGTTTGATTACTAAATTACACTTAAGCCAAAAAAATGATTATATTGAGTGGGAATATTTTAGGGCTCAACACAATTCATAGCACAAATGCTGGGAGACCCAAGGCATTCTTTAGCTACAACAGTGTTTTCTCAAATTCCTATTCTTAATAGTTATACCAATTACCCCAAATTTCTGAACATGTTATATTAATGAATTAGGGTAAAATGAAGCAATGCAAAATACATTTTAACAGGGAAGTGCTTACAGTCTACATTACATAGGTTCTTACGAAACATGCTGCTGCACTGTGGAGTCTACCTGGAGCCTTGAGGTCAAAGGTTGCATGCACAATTTTAAAGTTATCTTAAAAATGGTGAGGCTATTCTGTAGAATAAATGAAAAATGTAACGGACCAATCTCCAGACACTTTGGAAAGCAGAAGCCTTGCTCAAACTTCTTGCTTTCGAACTATATTCTGTAGCACCAGCCTCACCTTCTGTTAGGAAAAGACTAACCTTTAATTATTAGATTTAAAGGGAGAAATTATAACTTACTCTTCACCATAATTGCAGCAAGAGAGTTATTAAAATTCCAAACTTATGTAATATTATCATAAAATATGGCATTTTTTCTCAAGAAAGACACAAATTGGATGTGAGCTTATGCACTGTAAAACCCAGATGGTTCACTTAACTACTCAGACATCCTTCAGTTCAAAAGTTAATTGAACTGAAAACTAAAATTTTGATAATTGATATGCTCTGAAAAATTCAAGCAAAAAGATAAATTAGCCTTGTGCATGGCATGCTCACAGATAGAGCTCAAGACCTATGACCATGGTGAGGGAATACTGGCAAAGAAGAGGAGTAATATATAAATCCATAAGTACACACAGTGAGAGAGAGAGAGATATGATGGATTATCTGATTATACCTTACCTGGACTTCGCAGCATTCTCTTGCTTTTCTTTTTCCATTTTTTTACTCACGTATTCAATTTCTGTCATTATTTTACCCAGTTTAACTTGTTCTAGAATTTAAAGAAAAAGCCTTTAATAGTGTACTGCTATTACTTTCCCAGTTCTACAATGCACTTTTCAAATTAAATTGCAAATCATGGATTTTTAATAAGAAAAAGTACAAGATTCTTAAAGTACTAACAGAGATACTCAAAAAACACATTTGCATGTTTTTTCACCCCATGCTACAGAGATGTTTTGCAATTACTAAAATTTAGGACTGAGAAGTATAAAATAAATGAACTGCATATATCAGAAAGGAGAAAGCTCGCAGGAAAATGCCTACAACAGCATAGCACATACCAGTGAATACAAACAGCCTAATTCATACACATCAGCATTATCCTCATTATCATCAAAAAGCTTAGTTTTTAGGGGAGACTCTGCTATATAAAAATAATTTAGAAAATAATTAGTTAATGTAAATAGCAATTCTGAACATTCCAGAAATCTCAACATTTAATACAGTAAGACTAACATCCAGAAAGGTAAAATATTTTGCTTTTAAAAAAAAAAATCTAGTTTATAGAGTCTAAAAACAAATTTCCACCAATATTTTTAAATACCCATTGCTCCTATCTTTTGCAGGTAATAAGACTAAGATATGGCCTGAACTATTATGAATGTCACAGTGGGTATCTATTGAGCACCTTTTAGCTCCTAGCTTGGATATTTTATAAATACAGACAAAGCATAAGAGAAGAATGGTTAGGGTGTAGCTGAGTCTGAGTGTACACCTTACAAGTGTGAGGTCCTGGGTTCAGTTCACAATACCAAAAATGCACACACACACACACACACACACACACACACACATACACAGTGAAGCCAGGCTTTGAAACACACATGCCTCAATGACTTTTTTAAAAAAAAATTACAAACTAGTTGTCATGTCAGTGCCAATAACAATGACAAAGCAAGCAAACAAAAACAGCGAAGCACAAAACCACATTAGACACATTAAGTAATTCAGATTTCAATGTATAACAGATTATAAAAATTTTAGAAAAATGTAAATCAGAACATTAATATTAATTGATCATTTGTGATGTACCAGGAGTACTGGTTAGTATTTCCTGTGAATTATTTCATGCAAGCTTTGGAACAGTTATTTTTGGCAAACCACTGTGATAATTCCCTTTTATGCATGAGGAGAAGCAGCTCTCAAGATCTGAAAGGTGCAGAGCCAGAACGCACCCACTAGGACACACCCACTCCACGCTGCTGAAATGCCTTGTCACGAGCGGGTGCGATTTCTGCCTTGCTTACATTAAGAGGTGATCATAAAACTCCCAAGGACACATTTTATATAGAAAGGTACATAGCAGATTGAGAGACTGCATATTAAATTGAAAAGGTAGAGCTCAGGAGAAATTTTGTCTTAAAAGTAGAAGCACATAAAAATATTTACCATATGCCACTGTGCTAATACACAGTAAGATAGATAGACACATACATACATACATACATACATACATACATACAGATCCTATTTTAGTCTCACAAACATCCCATCAATTTGATACAGTTACTCTCCTTATTTCATAGATGAAGAAACTAGACCAAAAAGGAAATGATTAATTTTCAAGCATAGGGGCTGAGGAGATGGCTCAGTGGAATAAGTGCTTCCCTGGCAAGTACAAGGGCCTGAGTCCAATCCCTGGTTCCGCAAAAAAAAAATAAAAATAAAAATAAAAAAGAAATAAATTTCAAGCATACACAGATAGCAGTCGTGGAACATGCAAACCCAAACAGACTCCAGAGTATGAATTCTTAATCACTTGATGGTCAATGTGCATATTTCTCTATTTTTATTTATGACATATCTACTTAGTGAAAATAGATACTAAGCCCTAAAGAAGGCAAACTGACAGCAGGAACCACTGCAGAAAAGGAAGGGAGAAAAGCCAGAGGAAAGGACTCTGAGAACTACCGTCCAGACATCCAGAGGGGCAAATCTGCAGTAATGGTAAAGGTCCTGGGTTGCAATGAAAGAAAGACAAGGGCAAAACTGAAAGAAAGCATTAGGATTGACTGATTTTTTTTTTTTTTTAACCTTGCTTTTTCTTTCAAAACAGGAACACTACTAAACGTACGCAGTTGGATGGGAAAGAAATCAAGAGATTACAGGTGCCCCCACCTGAGCATCCTGGGAACTGAAGACAAGGGCAGGAAGCAGAACGGCTGCATATCTGGGAAAGATCTAACAACATTCAGATGTGCGGGCGTTGCTTGTGGAGTGTATTACTTTGGAGATAATGCTGTAAAAATGAAATTGTCTCTAATACTCGCACATTTATGAAAATTTGGTTTGTGTAGTGTGAATGAAAACTGTAGAAGAACGCCGACTTCCAGCAGAGCTCATTAGTACCTGCTGAATTGCACTTGCACTCCCCTCCATGCTCAAAGGCCCTTACAGTTCGTTTGGGGGCATATGATTAGATTCTGGCCAATGCAGTGTGGCTGGGGAAGATGGAGACCACTAGCAGGGCAAGGCTCTCTACAGGCCTTTCAGCCTACTCTTCCTCTGCCACACACCGTGCTCCAGGAGGTCCGTGCCACATAGCGGACACACAGCGTGAGGCCATCTATCACCCTGTGATGTGAGGGACGAGAAGCGAAATATTGCATAAATCTGAGGCAAGTCACTGAGAATCTGGTGTTTATTTGTCACTCAACAGAGCCCAAACTATACTGTCTGATAATAACAGGAAATTAAAATTAACCTTGCTGCCAATCTTTGGA